ACCCTTGGACACTTTTCCTTTAATTTCTATGAACGGGTGAGATCTTTTGCGCCACAAAAGAGTATTTGAGTCTCATTTTTTAGCATAAATTAAATTTCGTTGATATCACGGAACAACACTCAGGAGCTGAAGAAACATCTAAAAGCGGTAAAAAAAAGTTTGTACAGAGGAGTTAAATATGAGCCTATGGAAATCACAAATGGAAAATCTTTAAAAAAAGAGCAGAGGAAGCAAAATCGAAAAAAAAATTGCAAAAAAAATTAAAAATATGGAATGAGTTCAAAAACGAACGAATAAGCGATTACGGGCACAGGAAAGATATAGTCAAAAAGATTGCATAGTGATCAGCAATCCCCCGATTTGACGCTTCTAATAGTCAAAATGTATCACGTCACCTATTCAGCTGGTCGAAGAAACATGCCATATTGGCAATAATATTTTATATCCAGCATTCATAGTCAAGTTTTTCGACGCAAAGGATAATGCTTTCTCAGCTCGTTGGAAACTTGAGAAAAATTGAAGCGAGTTGAATGGCAAAATTGTTTAAATGAAAAAGAACCAAAGTACGAAGCAAAATCAAAGCTAAAGCCAATAAAAAAGGTTCATAACTTCAGCACAAAATTGGTCGGTTTCTGTTATCATCAAAAAGAGCAACAACAGTACCGGATTTGTTGCAGTGAACAATAATGCTGTTATCGAATGTACGCAATCCAATAAAAAGATCCGTAAACATGAACTGAAAGCACGACAGGGGTCACATCTTCAAAAAAAAACGTAGATCTCACCTGACCAAAAAAAACAACCACTGAGGAAAAAGGAGAAAAGATTAATGAAAGATTAAAATCCATAAACACTGAACACAAATTCACATGCAATAAATTTGGATTATAATTTCACTGCATAAATTATTTCTGTTTTTTTTTGAACGACTATCCTCAATTAAGCAGAACGAAAGCATTCGAAAACCCGTATAAAACAAGTTTTCAAGTTATATTTTTAAATTTATATTAGGAAACTTTTAATGATTAGAGCCACCAATATAGTATCCGCAGTGTTCATTGTTTTTCGAGTTTTTTCAAAAAATAGAAGCATTTTTTTGTCCAATAGTTTCAGCGCTATGATGATGTTTGTACCAGCTCCAAAAAATACATGGGCGATATTCGCAGAGTTATCACTTATTTAAATAATGAAGAACCTCCACACACTGGGTCATTCTGCGATATCTACAAGTTTTTTATTTAAAATGATTATTTTTCGTATGAAAAGCAAAAGGGTTTGTGCACCTTGCGATATTTGTGGAATGGCTCTAAATCATTATATGCGTTGTCGTATCAAAAAGAATGCAGCAATGTTATAGAAAGAGACTTGATATTCACGGAGATCGTCAAACAAAAACTAAAAGTCAAACTTTCAAAAAAGAATGCTGGAAATTATCTGAGTACATTAGATTGTAAACCAATACTTATTGCACTAACAAAAACATGGTTAAAAACGGACTCAAACAAAAAATGTCTCCTCTTACCAAACAACCAACAAGTAGAAAATCAAGGAGGAGAGGACAGGTGGTGGAGTTGATGTTTTGTTCATATTAACACTAGTTTTCAGCGCATTAGTGGTTTTACCTCAGACCAGTATAAAACCGTGACTGTTAAAACTAATTTGAAAAAAAAACAATATATTTTGTACGGTAGTTTATATATGTCCTGGCTTAAAACTGATTGACTCAATGAAGAATTCGGAAAATTATTTGGATGGGATGAATGTAGGACCAGATAAACATGTTCTTTGTGGAGACTTCAATCATGATCATTTAAAACCTCAAATTAAAAAAGCGTTGATTGTCTAAATGCTTTTAATTTGAAATTTCAAAACAATTTAGAATCAACTCGCCAAACAGTTTCTTCCAGAAGTTACATAGATGTGATGTACTCGCACTTTTCTTCGGTTGTTCAGGTGTCGGATGCATTGATTACAGATCATTCAACAGTAATTACGTACCTGAAAGAAACAAAACGTGTCTTATGATGAAATTTCCCAAGGAGAAGCATACAAAGTTTGGAACAAGTTGAAAAACTGGAACATAAGTGAAAAAGGAATCTAGATGAATTACAAAAGCACGACGAAGAACCAACCAACTTAGGTTGAAATGAAACTTTTCAATTCTTTCATCAGATAATTACACACAAAAACCATTCCGTTTCAATTAAAACTAGAGACAAAAGCAGGCAAAAAAACCTGGATATAGCTAGCAAAAAACGAAAAGATTTCGCAGATAACATTAACTCAGGGAATGACAATCAAAGCGCAGTTTGTAAAAACTAGAAATGCATTTAAAAAATGATAGGCAAGAAACAAAAGCAATTTTACCAAAACAAGTTTCAAAACGATAATGAACAAAACTCAAGAGCTACTTTTAACACTTCGAGAGAATTATCGGGTAAAAGCAAAAAATCTGTTAATCTAAGCCAAGAAAAAAATCGAAAAACTTAGTCAATTTTTTGCCCAAGATAGGACATCAATTGGCTGAGAAAATTAAATAATCTCAAAAAAATCATCAGAAGCGATTTCTTTATAGTTTTGTCTCATGAAAACAAGCGGAAAAAAAATCTGCTCAATTTTGCGTAACTTTCATTCAAAACACAGTTGTGATTTTTTGGGTTAAAAACTACTGTCATAAAAATTACAAAACTGAAAAAATTATAAAACGTTCAGAAAAAAAACGTTCAGAAAAAAAATTTCCAGACTGTCATAAAGTAGCCATAGTACTACCAGTTCATGAAAGTGGAACAAAAAATAATCCAGATAACTATCGGCCAATGTCTCTTCTACCTGTTAACCGCAAAAATTTCGAAAAATTAATCCATAAACGCACCATTGATTTCTTAGATAAACATGGTGTTGTGACTAAAAAGCAATTTGGGTTCAGACCTAAAATTTCTACAATAGATGCTTTGATTAACTTCATGGAAGGCATCCGAAATGATTAGGAATTGAACCCTAATGTAACCTGTGCAGCTTTCACAGATCTCAAAACAGAGTTTGATACCGTTTCACATGACACAATTCTACAAAACGCTGAAAATTGCGGACTACGAGGTCCCATACAGGCATTGTTGAAATCATATTTGACAACTAGATCACAAGTAGTCAAAACTGGCACCAAAATGTCGTGGAGTTTCACATGGATCAGCCATCGGGCCACTACTGTTCATTTTAACGATAAATGATTTACCAACGATTACAAACTCAGTGAGCTTATGTTTATACGCTGATGATACAGCAGTGAAGCAAAAAAAAAACAAAACCTACACCTACACCAGGACTTATCAAAAATAGGAAATTGGTTGAAAATCAATAAACTAACCTAACCCTGAACTTAGTCAAAACAATAAACAAATTTTAATAGAAAAATAATCAAAGAGACAATATTAAAATACGAAACCATGCTAAAAAAGGCCTCTACTAAAAAAAATCGATTTTTCACATGGACGCAAGATTACACATTTCATATCGATTTTCTCGTCAAAAAATGAATAAATTTTGTGGGTTGGTCTACCGATTAAGTGACGCACTAATGACAGCACAACTTATTAAAACCAATTTCAGTCATATTCAGCCAAAACTGCAAAATTGGGTTATAGTGTACGGCACAGATAATAAAACATCAGTACAAAAAAATTAAAATGAAATAAAACCAAATTCTGAGAATAATTTCAAGAAAATGGAGATATCAGTTAGTAACCTACTTTAAAGAAACCTACAAGATACGCTCAGTGAAAGATTTGCACATATAGAAGGTATTCAAATCTTCAGTTAAGCTTTTACGGAAGGATTTGAAAACTTAACTCCTAAAAAAACTCAACTTTGGACTCGGAGATTGAGATATTGAAACATACAAGAGTTTAAAAAAATGAAACCAATGAATAGTTTCACTGGTAAAATTCCTAAAAGAATAGGTGTACGGATAAGAAAACTATTTAATTTACCTTTAATGATACAGTCAGCAATCTTAATGATAGTCAATTAAACAATTTTTGCCATACATCACAAAAAAATTTTAAAAAATGATAGATCTTTTTTTCTAAAATAGGGGGGTCGTAGGGTTTGGACAATTAATAGTTTTTTAGTTGAAACTTCGTAGTACTTTTTAGAAATTGTACTGTTCAATTAAGGCATCGGGCCTTTTGATGTCCTTGCATATCAGAATCAAGTAAATTGTCAAATGTCTATTGAATAACCTCCGATATGAAAACAATTTATTATTAATATCAAGTTAAAGTTAATATCAAAAAACTTTTGTATATGAGCAATTTTTAGTGATTTGTCGAAGTGATTTTCATTCAAGTAGTAAAGTATTGTAGCTTCTCGGAATAAATTGCTCTCAGGAAAAATCTTTCATTAACTTAGAAATATCGTTATCTAGTAGGAAAATACGATTTATGCGAACAATTAATTGAGAAAATAGTTGGCTTCGAAGCGGAATGAAATCAAATTCAAATCTATCAAGTTTAGAACAACGGATTTTTCAATCATTTATTTTGAGCTGCCATTGGCTGATCAAAAAATCTGTACAGGCCCTGATCCGTCCATCTGTTTTCCAGTTGTTTAACTGTCGGTTTATCATTGGCCCGCTTGTTCAATCCAGTATTCTTCCTGCCCTGGGTGATTCCGAAAGTAGAGGGGAAGGAAGTGCCTCTGATTTTGGCGCCCGTCTCTGGGTTGAGTAGATGAATGTCTTCGCCCAAGGGAGGCAATTCGGCTATAGGCACTGCTATGTCTTCATTGGGAAGTTTGTCCTGTCGCCACTGTTCATCAATCACATCTATCAGGTAGTTATTCACAACTTGTCCATCACACATTTCGACATGAGCACAAAAAATCAACTCAAGTTTAAAGCACCAAAATAACCCAAAGCATCTAAAACAAACAATAACAAAAATTTAAAACGAACGCATATTTTTTTGGTTGCTGCTTTTTACCAATTCTTCAGAAAAACGAAATAGTTGAAATACAATTAATTTAAGGAAAATATTAATTAGCAAAACTTATTAAATAATGATACATAGAGACGAAGCTGATCTTCGCACCACTTGCGATACAAGGCCAAAAAGGACGGAGGCTAGCCGGAAGAAATTAAAACCAAATTTGAGAAAACAAAATTGAAAAAGCCGATAAAAGTAACTAAAACTTTTCTGCGGTTGTCTCGAGTGAAGTGTGAAGTGCTCTACAAACAACGTCTGATAAAAACCTTTAAACAAAGTCTGGCCCTTTTTCTATACAAGCGCCCCCCCCCCCCCCCTCCCGCCTCACACGAGCATCAATTTTCTGGTTCAACGAGTGGTTTCACATAGGTTAATAATGAAGACCAAATTTGTTTGCCACGGCCTTATTAGTCCGTATACCAATTTTCATAACAACCTATTAATGTGAACAAGTTTTTCATTAGTAAAATTTTGCAGGTGGGGGAAGGAAAAAGATCCCAAAGTCTGATAGAAAAGTCCAAGATTTAGAAAGTCGATAAACATAACCAAACCAACTATAGCCTGACAACTTAACCTTTACATTTTTTTCTATTTTTATTTTTCTATTTGAAAGAAGTCCCTAGGCTGAATCGGACCCAGCACATTCGTCACCCAAAGCAAGGTAGTTTTGTCTAGACTAAATGTGCAAAATCGTCTACTTCTGTTAGCAGATATTTACGGGGAAAAAGTATTGTACCCGATTACAATAACCGTACTAATCGCAAGGGTAAAAACATATTCGATAAAATTCAAAGTATGTTGTACCAGATCAAATTACGCATTATTGATCTAAAATTCATAGAACTGTAATAATTTTTGAAGCAAGGAAAACATGAAAAAATGAATTGAGGAGCTTATTTCAACCCAGGATTTATTCAATTGGAGTTATTTTTGTGCTAAAGATGCTAAAGACGCACTCGCATATCCTCATTCTGTAGTCGCCGCAAGTGTATAATCTGATAAAACTATCTCCGATAAATGTGGGGTAAAACAAAGTACAAAAAACCAGTACGATAAACTTCGTCAACATGTCAGCATTTGACTTAGCTTTCCTGAGTCTAAAAAACTGAGCAAAATTCTGAGCAACATCGCATGCCTTCAGTCTACTTCCACGCTTTTTTCAGGGCATAATAGGACGATAGCTTCTTAGTGATGAGCGATCCTATGAAAAGCGCCGAACATACTGCTCCTATGATCCAGAACTCGAAATCTGCACTGAGCACGTCGAACATTTCAGATGGAAACACTTGTGTGAAGAATATGTCCAGGCCATAATTGAATAGCAATACGGTCGATTCCAGACCTCCTGGAAAGGCGACGCTGCCTCTGATCAAAGCTATGCTCTGGTTGTAGTTGATGTTCATTTCCAGGGGCAGTGAGATGACTGGATGGTATGGGATCATTCCCTCCTCTCTAGCTGCGGCCTTTGAGGTCAAGCTCCTCCTGGGGTCCAGAAGATGTTTGGGAATAGGAACCAGCGCTCCACTGGCTGTGCCAAGAATGACTTGCTTATTGGTTAGACCCTTCTCCGAATATGTAGTAGCTAGTGATTTAACAAATGCTGGGTAGATATAACTCTGGCGCAAAACTAAGGGAGCCGATGAATTAGCGAAAGAGGAAAAGTGGGTCGAATTCCTTTCCGAGTCTTTGCCAGACTCGTACAGCTCGATTACCGTCAGCTCTGTTCTTCGACTTTTGTCGTTCCAAACACTGAACACGACCCAGTTCTCCGAGTGAACCACATGAATGTCCGACACTCGTCGCATTGTAGTCGCGAAAACAGTTTCACCTGAGACCGAATCGATGAGACTAAACTCGAACTGGAACTTGGCGTCGTTTCCTGATTGCGCTGAATCTCCAACCTCTTTTTGTTTCGGACTCAGGACTACAAATACCAAGTTCGGGTTCAAATACTTAAACAGAACTGTTTGGTCACTTTGCACTTTTCCCGGAGAGTCCACTAACTCTCCCTCTCTCATGCTATAAATTCCATATACTTCATGATCTATCCCCAGACTGTGCGACCACAATTCCTTCCCGGTTCCCACTTTGTCAAATTGCACACCAGCGATTCGTTCATTTGAAGCAGTTAGGACGACAAATAATGCTTTTGAAAAAATACGATCGAATCGATTCACATTTGCAGGTGTGTCTGGATAAAGCTTCAAGCTACGATCTTCCATCAAAAAGGCAAATGATTTCAAGTTGTCATCAGTAACAACTTCTGGGATTGAAATAACTTGGAGGGCTTTATACCCCGTATCAAGAGAACTTTCTATAACCTGCCCAGATAGTGGGTTGAAATAAATGATGGCTACATTTCCAGACACTTTATTCTGTCCAACAAGAACAGCTTTCGGTTCAAATTTGTAGTTATCTGTACCTCGTTGAACGAAAAGAAAAGATCCGACTTGTCCCGAAATTGATTTTTTGAATGTCATATCTCTAAACCACAAAGACCACATAATTTTTCCAGAGGCGCTCAAAATTCCAGAAAGTTTTCCATTTCCAGATAAAACGATTAGCATTTTGTTCACGTTGAAACTGTCTCTAACAAGCTCATCCTTGTCGGCAGCACATTCTTTGAACAACTGCTGGTTGGCAATTTGATCATACGTTTTCATTGCGAAACCTACAAACTGCGAAATATGCGAGGAAAATCTCCTGTAAAACATTTCGAAAAGAGTAGTTTTAGCTCGCGTTGCAAATTCGAAGTCAGCTTCTAAAGTTATCATTGCCTCACTCAAGTTGAGGTCACACATCTCAACATCTATAACTTGCGATAAGCTTTCGTCCTTGGTCCACAGAATACTATTTTGCCCATTCGATGATATTCCAATCATAAATGTTTTTTGATCTTCGGCGGTTATAAAAACTTTATCTGGCCTTCCGCTAGACTTCCCTGTAGCTGCAGCCACTAGTAGAGGGTTGCCATGCTTTTCGTGGATCCTAACTTTCAATGCATTCGAAAACATTTCTGTTTTAGCTTCGCAATTTATAGCAGTCACGGTCAGCGAATCTTTCTCGGAATGTAGAAAAGCAAACAAAGCACCATTTGTTGCATAAGGAACTGATAACTCATTGTAGGAAACAAAGTTTTCAAAGTGTTTTATTGTTTCCGTTTTAGTTTCACTTAATTCGACCAACGTTGTTGCTGTCGATTCTTTGAAGTGAACGAGGAACAAATCCCCGAATACAGATTCAACGCTCGATATCTTGAATCCCAGTTTTGAAGAGACAAAATTGGTTGATTTCTTTCCACTTAGTCCGTCTAACTTTAAAAATTTTAACGAATCATCGGCCAAACACACAATAAAATCGCCTTCAACGTTACAACTATCTTGTGAAAATTCAAAATTTCTGCGTATATCTTCTAATTTGTCACCTCCAGCAAGCTCGAAGCTCATAACACTAACACCACTGTTGTACAAAGAAACAACATCCACGGTTTTCTCAGCTTCGTTGACTCTTATTTTCCTGCTAACAAAATCGTCACTATCAACCGAGAGTGGATAAGTCCAGCTGGAAGTCTCATCGAAAGATATCGCTCGCATGCTTGTCTTCGAAACAACCATTACATTGCCAGGCTGTTTACGTGAAACCGCGGTGTCAGTTATTGTTTCCAATGCCCCAGTTTCTGGCACCAATGATAATTCTTGTCGCATATTCCCCGTCAAGCAATCAAACACACGATAAAGTTGCCTCTTTTCATGTAAGGTCGCTATATTCGAGTTTCCGTCGAAGAGAAATATTTTCGAAATATCCCCATCTTGTTCTTCAAACACCTTCCTCCAGATAATTGAGCCATCCTGAGAATTGGCCAGGGCTAACGCAACTTCTGATGCAAAAATTAATTGTGATTTGCCATTAACATTCAAAAATCTGCTCCACTTGATCGGACCCAAATGCTGAATCAGCCAATCAAATTTACCAACTTGATCTTCAAAAAGAGCGGCAGCACTCAAGCAACTTAAAAGAACGGCTAATAACTGCAGCAAAAAATCCCGCTGCATCTTTTCAATGCCACCTGAAAGCAAAACTATACAATTCCGTTATTGGGTTCTTAATGCTAGAGGGAAATGATAACGCACCGAGGCGAAGTGGAGCTTCGCACCGCTTGCGATACAAAACAAATATAAGAAGTAAATAAAATCAAATATGTTAAGAAAATGTGCCAGTCGGTCATCTTCGGAAGTTTGACCTTGATTTTCGGGGGAAACTAAAACTTTGAAAAATTTGAATCGACCATGTCATGCTAAAGTTTATCGCGGCAACTGAAATGAGAAGTCAATTTGAAGAAGAAAGAGTAAATTAAACATCCAATAAATGGACAAATGTGTAATAAAATAATAACCGCGTGTATATTGTATAAATAAAAAGCACGTGCAAAAAAGGTGGAGAAATTGATAAGTTGTTTTACGCTTGTCGTGTCGCCTTCAATAACTTCTCCACAGTGTTAGAGCATTCTGTGAAGCCATGACATGTGTCTAAATGTCTGAAATCAATATTATTGTTACAATATCTGCAAATACAGTCCAGTTGGGACTCAAAACACCTTTCGACTAAGCAAATAAGATGATGGGCCTCATTTGCATAATATTGAGCAATAATTCTTCTTTTTAAGGGGCTCGCGCGATCTATTCTTAGGAAGTCGTCTCCAAGAATATGATGCAAGAGGGATGTGTTCCTGGTGTAAACGCTAAGTCCACACCATTTTTTCCAGAAGATTCCTTGGATTTGTTTGACATGGGAGTCTATTTGAGCGGAAAACACGCCATGATCGATTGTTTGGATTCCATACATCGCCGCCGGATACACTATTGATTCGAATAGTCTTTTGGCCGACGTAAAATTAATTTTTGAGAACGGTAATTTCTGTTGGAGCGCAAACGTTGACCTTATAGCTGATCTGACCAAGTGTTTTAGGTGGGTTGTGATGGTAAGGGACGGTGATAAGTTGTAGCCAAGATAGCAAAATGAGTTTGTAAACCCGATTTCTTCGTATCCGTAGAAAACTTTGTCTGACTTTTTCAGAGGTCCACCTTTTCTGAATTTCATCATATTGGTTTTCTGGACATTGACAGTGAGCTTGTTAATTCTGCAGTACTCGTGGAGGTCATTCAGCGATCTTTTAACATCTAGAAGGAAAGGACTGGCTATGATTAGATCATCTGCATATAAAATGATCAAGCATTGATTGGAATCGATAAAATCCGGGAGATCAGCTATAAATAACGAAAAAAGCAAAGGTGAGAGCTTATCGCCTTGGGTCACGCCAATTAATTGGGGAATTTTGTTTGAAAGATTACAGCCGTCGGCAACCTGTTGAAAATTCTTTGAGCATATTTCACCTAGCGCGTGGATAATTTCACCATGCAGGCCAAGTCGGATGAGCTTTTGAATCAGGGTATTGCGGTCAACCGTATCAAACGCTTTCTTGAAATCCACAAAACAGACATAGTATTGTGCATATGTGGGTTGAGAAGTCAATTTAATCAGAAGATCCGAATCATATGTAACATTCGCCCGGAAGTACATATCGACGGGAAAAAAGCTAGGTTCTAAAACGAATGGCTAGCGTCTAAACAAAACTCTACATGCTTTTCACCGTCTCTGCCAAAGCCAGTTCTTTTGGTAGTTTTCATAACATCGGGTCGACAAAGAACGTTACTGCTTCTGGCTTCGGTCAAAACACTCAAATTAACTTAATTATATGCAAGAATAGTGAGCTCATGGCTGGGTGTCAGTATCCCCAGACCACGAGGTCACTCCTAAAAATTGGGCTACTACTATCTATTAGATTACTATTGTTTTTGTTCAATAGATAAAAATCATCATCTCCATCGAAGTTGGATTAACCCTTTCCCTCACTCCTAGCTTCTCATTATCTGAAAATGAATCGGGATGTTATTTAGATTCAAATTAGGGCTGTTATTTAGAAGCTAAAAGTTAATATATAACAGTTTGAGTCTTGGTCCCGGGACCCCTACGGATTCTGGAGTCCCGGGAAATAGCACTCTATTTCTTTCCGGAAGGCTGGACACGTCGTCCCAACAACCTTCCTCGTTTGTGTGAATTACTCGGTAGCGAATGTAGCGGCACAATCCTTACAACTCGTTTCTGACAACTTCCAGTTATAACTTCTATATGTCGTTATTTTTGCGTAGTTGTTTTCATCGCAACTATTGTTGTTCTGTTTTCTTCTGTTTTCTTGTTCAAATTGGCCTTTTCAGCATTTCTCAGAAATGTGACGTCACAATTTGAATTTTTTAAAAACTAACGACCGTCCTTTTTACCTTCACGATTTGTCTTCGTTTAAATAACGCCGCTAATCTGTTAAGACCATCAATCTTCCAGGTTAACCGTTCTTTTTCTGGTCAATAAAAATTCGAATGCGAAACTGCATTTTCGTACATCCTATTCGAATGTCACATACTCCCCGGACAGCCCGGTCAATGTCCTTATTGAGTCTCGCAATTTTCATCAAAATGGTACAGTGCCATCGAACAGAATTTATAAAAGGCACGAAATCACTTTTGTTCACCTCATATTAACTCACTGAAGAATATAAATGGCATCATAACACACTATTATAGCCTTTCAAATTCTTTCACTAACCTGCACTTTCGAGGATATGGCTTACGATAGAACATTTTATCAGACTTCCAATGCCAATGCCCTGATTTAAAACTTTTTCTCTTAGGGCAGTCCTGCCAACCAACAAGCTAAAATTATCCTACTATGCTTTTTCCCTTCGGAACTTTAGTTGTTATTGGTCCTAAAAATTAAAATTAAGGAACACTGTGGTTAGAAGGAACAATGAAATAATCTCCCTCTTCAAGAGATCAACCAAGCCTTTCATGTCACCACAAAGTGATCAGTCGTCTTAGTTGATTAAAAACAATCACGCAGGCTGGATTATTTTTTTATACTCTTCACTCAAGCCTTTCTAAATAAATAGTAAGTGTCTCTAAATCCACTAACTAAAATTAAATTGCAAATTTATAAATGCAAAAAATACTTTAATCTTCAAAACTCAAATAAATGTTTTCTTTTCAGTTTCAATTGCATTTTGGCTGCTTTGTTTCTCATTTAAGTTTTTTGCCACAAATAAAACATTTCTCAGTTTTAACATCTGCTCTTTCGTCGCTTCTTTGTTTCCTCCTTTATTCATCGTTTGGAAGTTCTGAAACTTCTAAAGTACTCTAATTGTCTTTCTTTTTGCATCTTGTTTTTCGACCATTTGTCAATGTTTCATCTCCTCTTCCTGCGACATTGACTCTGCACTTTCAGTATCTGTGTCTTGCAACACGTCGGTAGCTATTCTGACGCTGTTGGAAGCAGTCTTCCGACACTTCTGCTCTTCCACTCTTTGTTGACAACAAGGTAGAGGATCAACGTTAGAATCTCTGTTTCGGCAGAAGCTGTTGTGGAGGCACAACGTCACCTTTCTTTCCAAGTCTTCCTTCAAAATCTCTTCCTTCTCCCTTCCATCACATTCAGTTGTCCCAGAAGTTCTCTTCACCGCGGTCGTTACTGTATTCCGATGAGTTACAAAAGCTCGCTTAAAAGCTCCTGCTCCAATGTCCAGCTGATACGCACTGTACACTCTGCTGTGCTTCGACATATGCTTCTTGGCATATTCGTAAAATCATGCAGTCATGTTGACTCTGAACCATGGCATCAGTTGTCTTCTGGTCCATATTTTTCTCACTTCCATCGGAATGTTCAAGATCTTGCACATTGTCTCAAAAAGATCTAAATCTTTTAGACAACCCAAATCCTGTAATTGTTCTCTTGTCGGCGCCTCCTGTCTATTGTTCTCTTTTGCATGAGCTACCAGCCATCGTATCGCCATCATAATTCCTACTATCACTATCGTTATGGGCTGTGATGAATCTGGCAAGCCCATGGAGAGCAGCTCTCTACAGTCCCAGATCAACACCAGGTTACTACGCCCGGGGTACCACCATGTTTGTAGCAAGCAATGGCAGGGGAACTCATCATGTGTTGACATGATGCACCTCCAGTTACGTTTTTCCAAAGCTTTTAGTAGTGGTTCCACTTCCATCATCACTCGGTGGACTTCATCATTCTCCTCTACTGTATTGTAATCCGTGACTGTTGATCCTTTCTGCTTTTTTCTCTCAAAGTCACTGAAGTTCCCACTAGCGTATCCCATGAATTTCTTTCCCAGTATCGATTCTAATTCTTCTTTGGTTCTCTCCGGAACTGCTGGGAACATTTTGCGCAGTAACTCTGACATTCTCGCTAGTCTTACGCATTTTGGCACTGAGAAGGCTTGATCCACGATCGTTCTCGTACTTTTCACATCCACCGCTAAGAAATGCACTAGGTATCTGCTCTTGCACATTGGAGCTAATGTCGATCCCACCAAATATCGCGCTCCCGATGGTCTGCAATAAATTTCACTGTGCCGGATGTTCATTTCCGCCTCGATCGCTTCCCGCCACTTTCCTATATACTTTGGTTTAGTCTGCAAAACTCCTGGAAACACTTCTACACTGATGGCCGTGACCATCTCATGCTTTTGTTCTAGATTCAATAGTGACTCTAAAGAACCAAACATGCTGTAGAACCCTATAGCAGTCACCAGATTCAACTCGGTTCCCCCATGGCAATCTGCAATCAGTTCCGATTTCGTTCTCGCCTTCATCACAATGTTTCCAAACAATATCATCAATTGTTTGTGTTGTTTCTCCAGGGTCTTCACGCAATCCAGACCTCCAAGGATGTGACCTTCCAGTCCACAGACTTCTGCCAGACAGCTACAAGTTTTGACCTAGTCCTCTGATCCCCAGCCAGGCAACTCTACTTTGTCTTCTCCGTTGCTCTTAGAGGCTGTCAACATCAGATTATAGATGATGTTCAGGTCAAGCAAGTTACAGTCTGATTTCAGTTCCCTCTGCACGTCTTGTGTCGCACATAACATCGAATCAGCCTTGGGACTAGGACACCATGATGGTTTCATCAGTTCCCATATCACCATTAAGCTCGTTCTCAGCAGTTCGTCCGAGAATCCCAATCCAAACTCCACTCGTGTGTCAGATTTTGGCACTGAAGGTGCAGTCAACTTTTCCTCCAAGACTAGTCCCAGCTTGGTCTGCTGATTAGCAGCGCTTCTTATCGTTGCAATTTTTGACGTCCAGAATCTTAACAAGACTGCTTGCTCGTAATCAAATAAGCAATCGCGTATGTCTTCATTTAGGAAAGGGTTGTACGCCATCCCTATCATTCCAGATAAGTAACTGTAAGATTTCTTCCTGATCGGTCCACAGTATTCACTGGATTTCGGCAGTGCTCTCATAGATTCCTTAGTGAACCTCAGCACCTTATTTCGTCTATTTTCTTCATTGGTTCTAGTTCCACGGGTTCTTTCATATTTACTCGCATTGGTTTGCTCTGGTGTATGTCTAAAAGTGCTAGCAAAAGTTCTCTTCTCTTACAATCCACAATTCTGTCCCTTTTCAGATATAACCTTCCCTCTTTCTGCATAAAGTACTGTCTCAGAATACGGTAACTGTCTTCCTCCAGGTCGCCTTTGTCCGGAGCTCCTTTTTCGATCCACATTTTCAGGTTGCTCGACATGCGGTCATTTCTCTGCGCTCTTAGTAGGTCCGAGAGTCTGTACCTTGCCTTCAAGTACCTCTTCATGACCCTCATCTGACTATTCAGCTCATTGGGCTGATGCGTTTCTTCTTCCATCTTAACGCCCAAAATCTTCGCCAACGGCTGTGTTTTTTGTTTGAATGGTTGAAGAAAGATCAGTCCTAACTACCACTTTTTGTGGCAACAAACTTATCGAACGTTTCGATACCGCTATTGTTTCCAGATCATCTGCTGCGTTGTCAAAGACTCTTTCACCTGGTATCAGGCAGCGATCACTTTCAGGGTCTTGATATACCTCCCTGTCCAGATCTCTTGCTCAATTCTTCACTAGTAGTGTGTGGATCGCTAGCTCTGACAGTTCCGATTCTGAGCTCGAGTTCCTGTCTGAGTAGGTGTCAGTTCCTGGATTCCGGGAATTGTCTTCTATTGAAGAGTCTGCGATGGCGCATGTTCCCTCCTCTGGATCAGTTCTGTGCGTTCTGTTCATCCATCTGAACTCCCGGGACAAAATTTTATCCTCCAGGTCCTGTTCCTCATCAGGAACTTTCTCTTCTAGATCAGACTCCCCGGACAAACTTTCTTGTCCCGGGTTTTGATCCTGAACTCGCCTTCTCTCTTCGCCGTTCGTCTCCCCGGACAAATTTCCTTGCTCCAGGCTTCGATTAACTTCCTCACCTTCCTTCTGCTGTCTTCAAAGATAACGGTTTTCTTTTGTGTGTCGTTTCCTGTTCTTTCCGTTTGTATGAAGTACTTGTTTATTTTTCTTGGGGTATTGAGGATACTAATTGCTGAACTATTGTCCTACAATCCCTCTCATTTTTTTGTGTTCTCGTCTTGACGGCGTGATCTTCACCTTCTCGCTGACTGTCA